AAACAAAACACGTTGCGAGCACTTCAATCCACAAAGTATAGTTACAAAGAAAAAAAAAGCTTTCCAGAGCAATCCAATATTAGTTAATTTCGCCGCTTAATTCTTTTGCTTAAGGATTTAATTTGGCTTAACAAAAAGTTTCTTTGCGCAGTCTTTCTCAAAATAGAAAAAATACCTCACCAGATGGACTCACCTTCTCTTTTCACTTCCTTCCTTCCGGAGCCGTCTCAACTTCATCAGCCTGGGGCTGCCTGTTTACCGCCGGCTTGAAGAGCTTCCCTTGGGTCAATCAGGGACTTTGTGGTGTTCCTGAGAACAGCAAGGCTTCATCTTCCTGATCACCGTCTCTGTGGGACGGTTTAGGTCCAAATGGACCGTCCAGCGGCAAAAGTATCAACGGCGGTCTCGGAGTGTTGAGACCGCACGTTGTATCGTCACGACATTGGCTCCTCCTCTCTTCCCAAGTTGGATTGAGAACAAGGGGAGCAAGAAGCAATACTCAAGCTATACGTGTTGTACTTTCTACACAATGCACGCCACGCCTAGGAAGCCCTGCCCACCCCCTTACTGTCTTTAGACATTTCTTTTTTTTTCCCCAAAGAATTTTTTATTTTTTTATTCTCTTACATACCATTTTAAGTATACATTCACGTAATTTTTATTCTTCACATTTATCATTCTTATACATTTATTATTTCATTTAATGTTATAATATACAGTTTGGGTTGCTTTATTTACCATTCCTTCCTCCTTTTGTAACACCTTCCCTTTCTTTTCTCCCTCCCTCCCTTCTCTACTTCCTTCCTCCTCCCCCTTCCTTCTTCCCTTCCCTTTCTCCTACTCCTGCTCTTCCCCTCCCTACCCTCTCTCCTTCTCTTTCTCTCCCTTCCATCCTCTCCTTACCTCTTTATTCTTTCCCCCATCTTCCTTTCATTCTCTCCTCTTCTCTCCCTTTCTTTTTCTATTATTGTTGGTGTATATTTCAAAACTCAGTTTATATTTCCTTGGGATGGTATTTCTGTCAACCCAAATATAATTTAGTGTAATTTCTTATTCCCTTACCTTTGCTAGTCTACCCTAGTTATGTTTCCCCCCACTTTATATCGCTCGTGAATATATACTTATATATTTAATATTTTCTTTCTGTTTTACCCTTCTCCCCACCCCACCCCTTTTCCATTTAATAGTGTGTTGTCTGGGTACTTTATCTTCTCCCTACTTTCTTTTCTAGCTTGCTTTTTTCTCCATAGTGCGGGGGGAGGAGTATCCAGAATGGGTTGACCTTATCGTCTCGTGATTGGATTGAGTCAGATAAGCTCTTTGGGCAACACCCCCTGGTACCAGGACTTCCCCAGTTTTCTGACTCAATCGATCGTTCATTTATTTATTTATTTATTATTTATTTATTTATTTGTCTTGTATGCCGCCCACTCCCGGAGGACTCCAGGCGGCT